GGCCTCAGATGCCTCCCCCAGCCTCATGCCCAGGGACAGAGTTGGCTGCTGCCTCCCCCACCTCTTCCCCTCATAGGTTAACATGGCTTAGTTTGACAGGAAGCGGGGGGGCTGACTAGAAGGGGGGGGAGTGACTTGGCCAAGGTCATGGGGATCAGTCAGTGGCAGAGGAGCGTGTTTAGTCCTGTGAGCAGGTCACCTGGCCATGATGCCTCCCCCAGCCTCATGCCCAGGGACAGAGTTGGCTGCTGCCTCCCCCACCTCTTCCCCTCATAGGTTAACATGGCTTAGTTTGACAGGAAGCGGGGGGGCTGACTAGAAGGGGGGGGAGTGACTTGGCCAAGGTCATGGGGATCAGTCAGTGGCAGAGGAGCGTGTTTAGTCCTGTGAGCAGGTCACCTGGCCATGCCTTGGCAGCACCCACTGGGATCCTCTTTAGATCCTCTCTAATAGGATTTGGAGGAAGACTGTCATGAAAGAGTTAATGCCTTCTGCTGAGTGAGCCAGAAGTTTGCCTGTGACCCTCCCCCAGTTGATGCTCTCAAGAATGAACAGGTTTATCTTTCCGAATCTGATCTCCTGCCTTTCCTGACAGCTGTAGGAGGTGAGAAAGAGGCAAGTAGGATGTTTTAGTGTAAGGCCACAACCCTTATCACAGAGCTAATCTCTGAGTTCCGGGTTCGTTTTCATCACCAGGGACTCTTGGATTTGCCTCTTCTCCTTTTAGTGCAGTCTGAAGATCCAATCCCCAGATCTAGCGCTCTAGATCTCAGTGGTTACACTGTGAGCTCTGGTGCTGACAGTTCTGAAGGCCCGGCCTCCTCTCCATGGCAGGACCCAGGCTCCACTGGGCCAGGCTCCAGGAAGTCAGGCGCGCCCTAGCCATGACACCACTGCGGCTTGGACTGCAGCCTTTGGCCTCCAAGGACAGCCATGTATTAGACTTCAAAGTAGCAGCTCTCTGCAGAACAGTTCCTCACTCCCTGTCTCTTTCCTTCCCTCTCTGCTCCTGTGATGAATTAAGTGGCTTTAGCCACAGAGAACGGAGGAGCAGTGTCCTTTCCTTTCATGTTGGCCTCTGCCCTGGCTCACTCATCCACTTCTGTCTGTCTGTTTCTCTTCCTTTCTCCAATCTTTCAGGTCACTATGGTAATGATTCAGCTACGAGCTCACGTGGCCTTCCTCGTGCTCCCTCTGTTTGTATTTGGGGCACCTGCCGATGAGCTTGACCCCAAAGAAGCAACAACCCTCCCAAATGGCTGCAGGCGTTGCTGTGACCCACTGGATTCTCGAGGCTCCTCAGAGCCTACCCCCGGCTCAGCTGGGCACCATTCATCGTTGTACCCAATGCCAGAGGTCCGTCCATACATCAACATCACCATACTGAAAGGTAAGTGCCAAGCTGGTGTGCCTGGGACCCAAGGTCGTCTTGGGAACCAGGCATCACCATAACGAAAGATAAGCATCTATGCTGGCATACTGGGTGCCCATAGGCTACCAGTGACTTCAGCATCACCATACTGAGAGGCAAATGGTACATGCTAGCCCACTACAATGCATCAATTATACCCATTAAACACCCAGTGGCCAGACTGAAGGCTATGCCTCCAGTATACTCAGTGCCTGATGTACTGACTGATGGATGCCCAGTTGTCTGTTGTTATCAAGGGTAAGGGTCCATGCTGGTACATGTAGATTTGTGCCCAGGTAGCCAAAGAGGTGGAATCAGTCTGTACAATGCCAGTTTTCCCCTGATCCAGCGACTTTCCTGAATTCAGGGGAGCCAGCTCTTTGCTTGTACCCCACTGGCTCCTGTTTATTGCCACTGGGTGAGGAGCATCACTAGCTGCCCCTTGCCAATTTGAACGTTCTTCAGGATCAAACTCCTCTGTACTGTAAAGGGATAGAGCAGCAGGTCTTCATGCAGTCAGGAAGTAGACGATATGCCTGTAAGAATGGCAGAGGACCATCATTAACTTTCTGTGCAGGGAAGGGAGATCATCTACCTGGACCTCATGTCATCTGGGAAAGGGAGGAGGGGAATGCCATTAAGTCTTAACATTCACTTCTCTTCCCAAGCAGCTAGGAGCATGCTTGCATGGACACCCCTACACTCATATTTGCAAAGAGTGGCTCCCAACAAAGACTTGCTCCAGGCAGCTCTGGCTGGCTTAGCTCAGGGTGGAATAGGGGTGGCTTCCTGTTGTATTTCAGCTTCTTGCTCGAGGGTCCCCATTTGAGTGTCATCTGTGCTGAATGCATAGGATGTGCATGCACGGTGAGTCCTGGCACTGAATAGGAAATTCTTCTCTTTGGGCCCAGTTTATTATTGCTCTGCAGCCCCATTGTGCTACCCAGGCATAAGCTTCCCTCCACTCAATATCCCCAGTATAGAACCACCTCCCCACTGGTCCCAGGTTTGTGTCCCTGTAAAGCCCCAAAGAGGCCCATGAAACAGGGGAACAAGTACATGGTGCCCTATCCTGTGTGGGAGGCTGCTCTGCCCCCCAGAACTGCTGAGTAGGGAAGGCACAGATTACCTGTGCTAGTGCTTGCATAGGGATGCATTAGGTCATTTGTAAATAGCTCTAGTATTTGGCCCAAACACTGGGTGACATCTCAGTGCTTGGCAGCTTTCACATCTCACTTGGGTATCTCATGGGCACATCCCTCTGCTTCATTTCCTAGGAGACAAAGGAGACCAGGGGGAGCCTGGGACTCCAGGGAAATGGGGCAAAGAGGGGCCACCAGGAGAGCTGGGTCCCCAGGGTCAGAAAGGCAGCAAGGGGCAGATGGGTGCCCCAGGGGATCCCTGCAAGCACCAGTATGCTGCTTTCTCCGTGGGTCGCAAGAAGGCGCTGCACAGCAGCGAGGGCTACCAGGCCCTGATCTTCGACACCGTCTTCGTCAACCTCTACAGCCACTTCGACATGTTCAAGGGCAAGTTCTACTGCTACACGGCCGGCATCTACTACTTCAGCCTCAACGTCCACACCTGGAACTTCAAGGAGACCTACATGCACCTCATGCACAACAACCAGGAGCAGGTCATCCTGTACGCCCAGCCCAGTGACCGCAGCATCATGCAGAGCCAGAGCCTCATGCTGGAGCTGCGGGAGAACGACGAGGTCTGGGTGCGTCTCTACAAGCGGGAGCGCGAAAACGCCATCTACAGTGATGACGTGGACATCTACATCACCTTCAGTGGCTACCTGATCAAGCCCAGTCTGGAATGACTGCCCTCCTCCCTCTGCCCTTTCTCGCACGCTCTTTCTCTCTCTCCCTCTTTTCACTGCCCGCAATCACTGCAAACCACAAGGGAGGAAGTGGGTGGGGGGCTCCTTAGGAGGGTCATGGGGTGGGAGGATAGCAAGGAGCCTGAAAGAAAACACCTGCTATTCAAATCGGGACCATCAGCATTCAAAATGTGCCACTGACTACCTGGTAAGCCCCATTTGTCTCAAACAGGGGATCCCGCAGGTCACTGCTAACCTTCTTAGGCTGTGAGAGCCTTCCCACGACTCAATCAGCTGTAGGGACACAGGCAATGATACAGAGCAAGGGAGGGACAGGACAGGACAGTCCCTGGCTGTGTCAATCATCACTCATCTGGGATGCAGAAGGTCAGATCCTCAGCTTAGGCAACTCAGTGTCGCTCCATTGAAGTCAATAGAGTTACACTCATGGATTAGGGATGTAATTGTGTCTTCAATTAACCGATAAGCAAAAAATTATAGGTAAATGCTACAGGCCACATGCATTCCTCCTCCTCCCCAACAGTAAAATTTTTAGCAGGCTGGCCAGCAGCCTGGCTCAGTCCTAGCTCGCCCTGGGTCTAGGACTTACCTCCACTGCGGCTCTGCCTTTAAACTGTATTAGGAGCCAGGCAGATAGGCAGCTTGGCTCAGTTCCAGCTTGCGCTGGGTCCGGGAGCTCCGCCCCTCCCCACCTTTGCTGCTACCTCTGATACAGAAGCAGCAGCATGGCAGCCGGTCTGCAAAGGGAGCTGGTTTTTAAACTGGCTCCACTTGCAGATCAGGTCCCACCCGGCATCCTGCACTGCTGCCTATGATATGGAGGCAGCAGTTCGGAGTGGAAGGGGCTCCTCAGGAGTGGGGCCAAAGAGCACTGGCTGCACACTAATCCCACCCCCGAGGACTATAGACTAGTTGAATAATCTATAAGAATTCATGAGGTTAATTGACTATTCAATTAACTGATATTTAACATCCCTATCATGGATGCCTGCTGCAAATCTAGCCCTACCTATTGAAAGGGCGCGAGACCCTGCTGGACCCCAGCAAAACTCCCCTCCAGTCTCAGCAATCTTGTCAGGCTCAGAGCCATCCTGGCTTTGCAGAACCCCTTTCCCGGAGACTGAAAGCAGACTTGCTTCGGCTCCCCTGCCCACGAAGTTTATACCAGTGTAATTCTGTCCACTTCCGCAGAGTTCCCCTGACTGCACGCTGGCGTGAGAAGAGACTCAGACCCTGGATTGAACTGCCGCAGTCCCATAGGTGTGGCTAGAGCAGCGCTGGTAGGAGGCCATTCCTTTAAAGTCCCACCTCCACATTAGAAAGGCTGGGGGTGGGGGATGGCGGAAACTGACTGAGTCAGAGGGTGGTGGAAAGTTATGCTTTTACCACTAATACAGAGGGTCAGCTCCTGTCCAGTACCCCTCCCAAAAAAACTCCAATGGAAGAGGGTTACACAGTAGCTGCTTGGTAGCTTGTACAAAATGAGCTGAGCATTTCAGTCCCGCTCCCAGTGCCCACATTGAAAATGTCTTCACCTCATTAGCTCTGTCTCTGTTGCCTGTGATCTCTGGTGAAGCCCAGAACGGAGAGCCCTGGAGACTGGGATGTGCACCCAGCCCTCGCAGGCGGGTACGATGTGTTGGCGGGGCTGCACAGCAAAGCTGGTCCTGTCCCTGCCTGTACATTACAGCTGGGGAGTACAGCAGCCCTCAGCACTCACCTAGCTCTGCTTCTACTGACATCAGAGGCTTTGCCACTGACTCCAGTAGCAGCTGAATCAGGCCATTTCTGAGCACTTTTGAAAACCCTGAAGGCTAAAGTCTCCTAAGTGCTGAAGTAGTGGGTCTCAACAGGGGAGCTGTCCAGCAAATATTCACTAAAAATATAGTACTCATAAAATACATAGATTTTTAAAAAATCAAACTATTTGATGTGATTCTGCTAAATGAGTAAGAAATGCAGAGGGGGCAATGTTTCAAAAGTGCCTACATCCCATTTTCTAATGTGATTTAAGCACATAAGAGCCTAACTCCCTTTGGCTTTCGGTGACTGTCTTTATGCCAAAAAGGTGAGGGTTTTTTACAGATTTTTACACTAATGCAAATTAGTGATCTTTCTGTAAAATTCTAGTGGAGACAGCCTGAGTAGTTTTACATTAATGTAGATATGAAATACTAACATAAAGTGAGAGGCATATCAACCTGATGAGCTACACTGAGGTAAAAGCTACCTAAACCTTGTCCCTGTGGGAAGGAGGCTGTGAAGACATAACCAGTGAGGTTTCGGCTTCTGAGGGTACGGCTATACTGCAGCGGGGTTTCAGGATACCAGAGATATCCCTGAAAAAACTCCGCCGCATCCAGGGAATGCGTTTGCTCTTCCACTTTTTTTTGTGGAAAAGCAGAGGCGCTCTTTCAGAAGGCCTGTCTTCCTCATTCCACAAGGAAGAAGGGATCTTCCGAAAGAGGTGGTTTTTCCGAAATTTGGCCCAGTGGAGATGGGCCAAATTTTGGAAAAGCCTCTTCCAACAAAAGTATCGGAAAAAGGTACACAAATTGCGGGCACAATTTGCGTACCTTTTTCCGAAAAGCCATTGTAGTGTAGATATAGCCAGAGAGACAGACAAGGGAAAGGTAGGGGAGGTGAACTCAAGTGGACTGCAGGCTAGTTTCTCTTGTTCACATTGCTGCTGTGGATTTGCTCACATTGTGGAGCTGTGGAGATAGAAACTAGTCCCAGGCTCTTCCCCACCTGAGTCTCATAACCTCTTAATACAACTGGGCTGTGTCTAGACTGGCCAGTTTTTCCGGAAAATCAGCCGCTTTTCCGGAAAAACTTGCCAGCTGTCTACACTGGCAGCTTGAATTTCCGCAAAAGCACTGATGATCTCATGGAAGATTGTCAGTGTTCTTGCGGAAATACTATGCTGCTTCCGTTCGGGCAAAAGTCCTTTTGCGCAAAAGGGCCAGTGTAGACAGCTCGGATTTGTTTTCCACAAAAAAGCCCCGATCGCAAAAATAGCTATCGGGGCTTTTTTTGCGGAAAAGCGTCCGTGCCAATCTAGACGCTCTGTTCCAAAAATGCTTTTAACGGAAAAGTTTTCCATTAAAAGCATTTCCGGAAAATCATCCAGTCTAGACACAGCCTTGGTGTGGAAAGCAGGGGCCCTCCAAGTTAGGCGGGTCCTCTTAGAAGAGTTCTCCGTCTTCTGGAATGCCAGGAGCATGGGAGGAACATTGGAGTCCCCCTCTCCTAGCCTAGCGGAGTGTGGAAACGCTCCAGGGCTGGGACTGATGGGAGTCGTGAGGGAGCCGCATGCTCAGGGTGAGGTTTCGGAGGGAAGGAACTAGTGACTGAATTCCTCTCTCTTTTTAGAAGCCACAGGCTGCCAACCCAGCTGTTGTGTATTTACAGTGTGTGGCTGCCCTGGTGCTGAATCACTTCCAGATCTGGGCTCTGAATTCTCTCCCTTTCTTCCAATGTCACTGTTTACTGCTGGAGGGCCAGTGCTAGCTCTCCGGCTAAAACACTCCTAAAGAGCAGTGGGTGCTTAAAATGGGGAGGGGAAGCACTGTGGGAACGTGTGTTTCATTGGCCAGCTTCAGCCCATGAAGGTGCTAAATCAGGCTTCCATCCTTTGGTGCTAAATAAGATGGCTTCCCCTCGGTGCTAAACCAGGTTTTAAGAGAGCCACCGGTGCTTATTGGGGGGAGGGGGGGTGTCAGGGTAGCCGAGACATAAAGTACTGTGGAATTGATGGTGCTTTAATTATGGAAAACCACCATGAACTTTTGTATATATGTTTTCAGTTTTATTAAAACTTTTTTTTTTTGCACTTTGAGATGATTTTCTCTGTAAGGTCTTTCTTTGTGTCTCTTGTCAGGTTAAGGCAGGGATCCCACTGTCTGAGAGGCCAGAAGACCTGGCTTCTGTTCCTGGAGCAGTCACTCCCCTACTGAGTGACCACGGGCAAGTTACTCTGTGTGCCTTTATTTCTCTGTCTGTCAGATGGAGATAATGATGCGTAACTTCCTCCATAAAGGGTTTTGAGATCTGTGGATGAAAAGCTGTATGTGAGATTTGTCATTAGTAGGACATTTCTAAACCTTTGTTTAAAAAAAAAAAAAGTTTGCAGCTCCCAAAGCTGCAAGACATAGTGCAGGAGTTACTGGAGAATAACTGACTGCTAGCGAAGGGCAAAGTAAAAATTGTTTCATTGGTTCATTCGCAGAACCTGGGGAGGGAGCTGGAAGTTTCTTGTCAGAGAACAGATAATTTTCTTGTGCTGTCGCCAGTCTTGGTCCTGGTTGGCTGCTATGCACAGGAAGAACGGGCTTTCCCTGTGGTATTTCCACGAAGATGTGACGTCTGACCCACAGCAGAGGGAAATGAAGTAATAGAATGAACGTTTACAAGCGTCAGTAGTATTATGGGGAAGAGGTTTGAGAGCCAGGTTGAGGGGAGGGCTCTGGTGAGGGAGATCTGCTGGGGAGAATGGGGGAAAGTGGGGGGATCAGGTTGGGAGGCTGGGTGGGATGGAGAGCCCTTTGATGGGCTTGGGTGGAGGTTTAGGGATCAGCTGAGAAGTTGGTGGGTGGGATGTCAAACAATAGGGCTGGCTGGAGGGTTTGTTGGAGGTGAGGTCAACATCTGGGGCACAGATAAATGCACGAGGTTGACTTCAGCATCTATGAGGCTTGCTGCTGCTGAGTGGAGGCTGTGTATCAACTGAAGTGATGATGGCTGTGGGGGTGGAGCTGGAGTGGCAGCTGCCTGGGGATGGCTCAGCTTTGGCTTTGTGCTAAATGTTAGAGCCCTGCGTGGATACAAAATTTGTATCCACATCTGTACCTGCAAAAATGAGCCGTGGATATCTGCATTGACATCTGTGGATGCAGCTATAAAGTGGGCACCTGCAATTTTGCAGTGTTATCCATAAAAATGAGATGTGGATACTTGTGGATAGCCACAGCTTTGCAGGGCTCTACTAAATGTAAGATGCTGGTCTAAGTTTCATCGTCTGTGCTGGGATGCTGGGATTGGTTTGTAACTCACTTGGGGCAGTGTGGGGAAGATACACTTACATTCTTCCTCCCTCGTCAACAGAACCCCTTGCTCCCAGTTCCAGAGTAGAAGCTGGGCTCTGGCACATCTGGTACTCTTCCAGGTCATGCCCAAGCCACCATGGCTGTTTTCTCTTCTCCTCCCACCCTCCCTCCCCCAATATAATGAAACTGACAAGACATCCTTGGGAAGCACAGAGTCTTGCGTGCTCACATCCCAGCACCATTCAATGGTGAAGCTGCTAGAATCAGACATGTCTCTTCCCTGCCAGTGTGTCACCTGCAGGAACCATTTGATAGTGTGTGTACCTGCATCTACAGCTGCAAAAATGATCTGCGGGTATCTGCATCCACCATGGATGCAGATATCCTTGGATATAAAGTGGATATCCACAAATGTGCAGAGTTCTAGATACAAAATTTGTACCTGCATCCATATCTACAAAATTGAGCTGTGTGGCTGCAGGTACCTCGGATATAAGATGGAGATCCATGGGTTTGCGACCATATGCTTTAACCCTTTAGGAGCTTTTGTATAGTGCCCTTTCTTTTGGTCTCTTCCTGAATCACCCTACCTCCTTCCATGCAAGGGGCATGTGTAGTAATGGCCCAGCTAGCTTGATCTCCTGGCACTGAGCGATGGGGTCATCCTGAGTATGAAGGAAGGTGCCCAGTGTACCAGTGAGGGCTGGCCTGTGAGCCAGCCATTTTCTAGGCAGTTTGAGGTGCAGTAAGCTCAGGAGGGCCATAGCCTTTTACCATGTGACTCCACATGTGCAAGGGGAATGAGTAGCACCAAGCCTTAATGGGGGGTCACTAACCCACCTCAAGATTGCTAGGCCAAATTCTCAGCTAAAGTAATCCTCACCGATTTCAGTGGCGCACTGTGTGTGTTTAAAGTAACCAAGGCTCTGCCTCACCCTGGTTTTTTGGGATCACATGACTCCGTGGCATAAGGGTTGCAGTGTAGTCTAGTGGCTAAAGCACCACATTGGGGTGCTATCCACCTGGTTTCTGTTCCTGACTGTGCTGCCGATTCACCGAGTGACCTTGAGCAATTCACTCTGGTGCTGTGCCTCTGTTTCCCCATCTGTACGGTAAGGATACTGGTCTCCTTTGCAAAGGGCTTTGAGAAAGGTGACTGAAAAGCCCCGTGTAACAGTTAGGTCTTGTTATTCTTTAGTGTTCAAAGGTGCCTGTCTCAGAACTGGCCCTTTAATTGGCTTCCTGCTGGTTTGTGGTCTAACAGGTGATGAGGGGAGGGAAGGAGGTGCACAGAGGCATGAGGGCAGACTATCTGCTTTCTGGAGGAGGAAATGGTGGTGGGTGTGCACCCCGGCTCAGCTGAAGATCCCTGCAGTAGCTCCTTGCCACGTCTTACTCCCTCGTCCCTCCTCCCGGGAAAGAAAAGACAGATGTAAAAAAAAAAAAAAAAAAAATCAAGGGCGAAGCAGGCAGGGGAGGGGGAGAGAACCCAGCACCAAAGAGAGAGTCCCAGAAAGGGACCTGGCCACACGTGCAGAAGGGAGTGGGGGTGGGGAAGAGTGTCCACTGGCCAAGAGCTGCAAGCTAGGAGGCAGCTGGCTAGCCAGCCCCTTTGTCCAGCTGGGCGGAGAGCTAAGCCCCAAGGGGAGCACTGGTATGCGTGCGTGTCAGGGCGTCCAGGGGGCTCAACCCACAGGCCCGGCGGCAATGGAATTTGCTCCTGCTCAGCTTGGCTGCCAGCTGTGCCCAGCACATTC